TAATATTTCTTGGGAAATCTACGTGCCTGAAATCTCTGTTTTTGGGTTTGTGTTATCTGCGTGTTTGTAAACTATGTTTCTATTGTGTTTTGGGCAAGTCCTAATTTGTTTCTTATCAGATTTCTTAGTGTGCAAACAGAGCATGCTGCATGTATTGCACGTTTCACTGAATAATCAAACAAGAAATCACTTTTATGAATTGCGAGAGAATTTTGGCATACTGAAAAGTTATAACAATTCCAAACAAGCTCTATTTTTCTTTTAATTCCCTTTATGATAAACTAGTTTTGCTGCAAAATTTATTTCTTTGACTTCCATTAATCTTTTGTGAATAAATATCAAAACTATAGACCCAAAAAATAAGGGAAAAATATATGGGAGTGTGTTTGAATCCTTTTATCTTGTACAACTTGTGTATTGCTTTTGATGTATATAGTTTTGCCCAAGTTTTCCTATAGGTAATTACTTAGGAGTGTCATTGAACGCACTTTTGGTGTATGGAAGAAAAAGTGGAGTATTTTACAAGACATGCCTAGCTATCCATTCGATAAGCAAGTGAAGATAGTAATTGCAACTATGGCACTTCACAACTATATAAGGAGGCATGCCCAACGTGATATTCATTTTGACAAAGTGAATGACAACCCAAATGCAATGGAGATGGAGGGTGATGCACAAGAAGAATATCATATTACTCAAGGGCCTGGAGCACAAGAACTAGAAACATTAAGGAACAAGATTGCTGCAAGTTTAATGCATGCATCTTCTTAGACATTTTCTTTATTTCCATTTATTTAAGCCTAGTTTCAATTTGTTTTTATTGCTACAATTCAAACCTTAAAAAAATGTTTATTACTTATTCAATATCAAGGATGGTGTATGAACCTACTACCGTGGTGATCTCTTTATCTTTGGTGGAATTTATTCAATACATAATTATCTTTACCAAACGTTTAACTGCTTTACTTTACAGCTGATTCTTCTTAAAGCACAGCAGAAGCAGCTTTTTTTTAAAACGGCAGCAATCCCAAACTAGGCCTAAGAAGAATGATATATCTTGTTCATCTGAAGAAATTATTTCAAAAATATTCTTTAGTTACCTATAACTTTTGATACAGAGAAGCCAAGGACATGACGGCTGCGAGCGACTTGTATGAGAGTTTGGTATTTGGCTGAGCAATATTTGGATGCAAAGCAAATCTGATCTTGCTTTTGGTGAAAACATTAAAATCAAATTCAAACACAAAAATAAATAAAAAATTAAAAAGGAGTAGGAGTGCGTCGATAGCCCTTCTCAAGAGCACGCTTCCTTTGTATATGATACGTGGAGTTTTCTCTTATGCGTGTTCTCTTTTCTTTTTGTTTGGCAAATACATAATGGTCTGAGGAGGAGAAAATTTTGTGCCCGTTATACAATTGGGCCCTGGGCCAAGGCCGGCCCTGCCTCCTACCAAAATGATGGTGGGGAATTGCAATGAACCAAGAACAGAAGCCTGCAACATGAACAAAAGCTAGCCAAGAATGTATCGTTGGAATGGTAAATAAGGTCTCTTGATTAATTTGCACGAGGAACGATAAATTTTACTTAACAAACAAACACCTTACGTTTTCGGGGTAAAATACCAGGTTTGTTGAGTAATTTACCTAACGAATTAGGCTATTTACCTCACAAACGACTAAATCGTTCGTAGTGTAAAATGTATCGTTGGATTGTTAAGTAAGGTCTCTTGGTCAATTTACACAAGGAGCGACCACTTTTACTCAACAAATGAACATCTTACGCTCTCAAAGTAAACTATTGTGTTCGTCGAGCAATTTACCTAACGAACAAGTCAATTTACATCACGAACGACTCTGTCGTTCGTAATGTAAAAGGTATCGTTTGATTGATAAATAAAGTTTCTTGGTCAGTGTATTAATCTCTTTAAGCATCTACACACTAATCTTAGTATCTCTACACATTTGACTTTTTTAGGAAATACAAGCTCAATTCCCATATCAAATGCAATTTTTTTAGCATCAATCATGGCAGAAATAAACCCATTTATCATATAGTTTCAAAAAATGAAACAAGTCCTTCTAATTGTCTTACAACAACATCAAGACGCATGCTTCAAATTTTAATTTTTTACTAAGTTAATCTTGTGCAATATGTCATACCAAATAACCAAGCTTAATATAAAGTCAAAACTTGATGCTAAACTTTGAGCATCCCTACTCAATTTAGCATCTTCACTAATTTAAATAAAGCATCTATGATTTGGGAAGCTTGTGATTTTATTGCTTTGACACTTTTAATGTGACTTTCCCAACGTGTAGTTGACAATGATTTCAAAGTTAAACCATCTATATAATCAAGTAATACATTCCATTGTTTTGTTGAATTAGAGAATACTGTATATATGCATTGACATGCTCCAAAAAAAGATTTTGCTTTAATACATGACTTGGCCATATCACAAAGTATTAAGTTAAGACAGTGAGAACCACATGACATGTAAAATGCTCTAGGATTTATGTCAAGTAATCTTTTTTGTACAACTAAGTTCTTTCCTTTCATATTAGATCCATTATCATAACCTGACCCATATTCTGCCTCGTCGCAACCCCTCATCTATTGACTTGCACGTCAAATTTTTTTTCCTTTCTCAGTCACGTGTGACTCACGTGAGGTTTAATAAGAAAGGGTTGAGTAGGTCTTTAGGTCATTCAATCTCAGCCCTTGATTTTTAAAGTGAAATATCAGCCCTTGGATGAATGGCTGCACTGATACCACCAATGTACTATAGAATTTTTAAGAAAACGATACCGACTCCCACGAAAACCAGCAACAGTAATGTTCCAATTCTACAAGATAGTCAGATTGGTTTTTGGAAAGCTTTGAATCGTATAGAAAATTTGATATTTTTCAAACAAGTTTATTACTATATCAATTTTATTTTGTTCTAATTTTCAACTTCAATTTCATTTTTTCTTCTTCTTAGAGTATACAAAATTAGAACACAATGAGAAATTTTCAGAATGGGCCTCCTTCACCAAACCCGCTATGAACTCTTTCAACCGATTCTCTCTTATCTTTCTCCTTTTGCTAAAATATGAGAAGGTATAAGAGAATATTTATTTGTGAGAATTTTATGTGTATTAATGAATCTGATAATACGTAAACACACAACAGAAAAGAATGGAAAAAGTGAATCTCCCATTATTTTATTTCATCTTCATTTATTTTTTCATTTTTTCTCCTGCCAGATCTTGACTCCCTCAATCATTTGAGAGGGAGTGTGTTGTAACTTTATATAAGTTAAGGGTTTTTAATATGTGATCCTCATCTCTCGTTTTCTTATTGGACCGACCGTCGTACTTAAAGCATCAATAATGATTACAGGAGGAATATTCCCATAGATCCCCCAGATTCAGGAATCAGCCTTCCATTACCGACCTGACCATTGTCGTATTTAATTATTCTCTAGACACATCAATATCAAACTAGCAGTTAGTCAACTTGGAACTTGGAAGCTTCCTCCTCGAAAAATAAAAAAATACACGTGATGCTCACTTTATAACATGAAAGTACCCAATTGCCCTTCATATAAATACATATGTATTGACTCTATATCCCCTCGAGAATTCATTTTCTGAAACCCAACTCTCTCCTCTCCTCTCTCGCACTCTCCCAAATCTTTGCCCAGCCATGACTTCATAGAAAACAGAGAGTGTGGTGGATTCTCCAAAGCATGACTTAGACACTGACGCTGAGCGCGATACCAAACACACACACACATACACATATATATATATAGCAAAATAATAGCACTTTTAAAATTTGGAACCCATAACAAACAATATTATTCACAAACATATATAACAAAATCAATCACAAAGATATATCATATCAAGTTTTGATAAGGCAAATGCAACAATTTCGAATTCAAAATTCATACACTTGATATAAAAGAATTTCAGCAGAAAACATATCCGAAAGCGTATTAAGAATCACTATATCAATACTGAACAGAAACCCACATGATACAAACTGAAAAATACAAAAGATTAGCATAGCTCAACCATTAGAGAAAACCACAGCTTCACATGTCAAAACACTAGCATACCTCAACCATTAGCAACACTAAACAAAACCAACCAAAAACTCCAATAGCTCGTTAGTCAGAAAGAAAAAATTAACTCCCTTTCTCAAAGCCCAAAACACTATTAACGAAAATCATATTTTGTCAAACACTCAAAATCCTATATCAGCACCACTCAAATTCCCACATAGAAACACCATAATTAAGCAATTAAAGCATTACACTCCATACGCATGTATACATATATATATATATATATATAGAGAGAGAGAGAGAGAGAGAGAGAGAGAGAGCACGTAGCGAAAAATGGAGACCATGAATGCTCCGCCAGCGGAGTCTTCGGCAAACTTGAGAAGGCAGACATCAGTGCCATTGGAGGAGGCGGGGACTAACGAGTTTGAAGAATTAGGGTTAGGGTTAAGGTTTGGATTGGTATCAAGCTCAGTATCAGTGTCTGGGTCAGGCTTTGGAGAATCCACCGACGTCGTCGCCGTGGCCGCTACTCTCTCTGTTTTATATGAAGTCATGCCTGGGCAAGATGATTTGGGAGAATGCGAGAGAGGAGAGGAGTTGGGAGAAATTGGGTTTCAGAAAATGAATTTTTGAGGGGATAAAGGGTCAATACATATGTATTTATAGGAAGGGCAATTGGGTACTTTCATGTTACGAGTATATATGAAGGGCAATTGGTTTATCTTTTGTGATTATCCCTATAATCTATGGAGATTTTTATTTTTATTTTGGACGAAATAATCTGTGGAGATTTTTTTTAAAGGAAAGTTGCTCCTATTTAAGACGCGATTTTCTTTGGTCAGGTTTTAAGATTTCAACCTGCATCTCGGTAAGCCTGGTTGACACGACTGGGTGTGAAGGGTGCAGACCCAATTTCCCATTTCAGTAATAGTAAACACAACAATGGCTTCCAAGTCAGGCTCAATCGTTGCTCTTCGGTTCTCTGTTCTCATTCTCTGCCTTCAAGGCACTTATGCTTACCGTATAGGAGGTGATGCCTCTGCCTCTGCCTCTGCCTCTGCAGAGGCAGCCTCTGCCACTGCCTCTGCTTCAGTCTTAATCGTTGCTCTTATGTTCTCTGTTCCCATTATCTGCTTTCAAAGCATTTATGCTTACCGTATAGGACGTGATGCCTCTGCCTCTGCCTCTGGCCCAATTGGTAAGTTTCCAACCCATATTTGTTTTTTCTTTTTTCTCTCTCTGTTTTTCTTTACTTGAGTCTCTTAATAATTTCTACCATTATTGCAGAAGGTGGCTTTGGAAATGGAAATCGGGACAGCCAAGGGTATGGCGATGATGAAGAACGTACGGCTGCCCCAAGGAGGACGATATGGACAATATCACTTCATAAAAAGTTTCTGGAGGCAATCGCACACATTGGCTTGGACAGTACGTGGAATTTCCTATTTCTAATCATCTCAACTCTCTTTTCCTTTCTAATCATATGTGTTTCACTCTAAATAATATTTGCATCCTCTTGTTTTTCTTTTCCTTTTGGGTTCTTGCAGACGCTACGCCAACGGGAATTCTCAAGTTCATGAAAGAGCCAGGCTTAACCGCAAGGCGTGTGGGCAGTCATTTGCAGGTTTGTTAATATTCAATTAGACTAATGGAATTACTACCTAATTTTATGTTATTTCCTTTCATATATTAGGAGTAAAAATATTTAGTGATTTTGCAATTTGCATTTGTTTAAAAACTTATATAAAAAATAAAAAACTTACAAAAAGAAAAAGAAACACAGCAAGCATATACATATACACGTATATTTATTTATTGATTTTTAACTAATCTATAAAACTAAGAATTTTTTGGATTAAAAAATATTTATAACTGGTTTTTATTATATATTAAATATTTTAATTACTAAAATGTCCATGGCATGTTAGCAAGATAACGGTTTTATTGATAAAATTCACAGAATTAGATAATATGGGACACGAAAAAATGTAGGTGGATTAATGATCATTTTAGTGTTTATTGAAAAATACATCGTGTATAGATGTTTGTTAGTTAATGATGGTTTGCGCACGTATATGAATTTCCAGAAGTATCGTATACACTTGAAGGCGAAGGAAGCTGCGGCGGGGGACGAAGACAAGCTTGACAGGTTGAGCAGGTCAAGCTTCGCACGAGAGAGGTTGAGCAGATCAGATGGCTCTACATTTCAAGTTCAACCATCAGCTGGAATTGGAAGCACCCTACCTCTTACTGCTGCTGCTTCCAACTGCCACGGCTTCATCCAATTCTCTAATGATCAGCAATCTTCAACTAGCAACAGCAGCAGATCCATTCCGCGCCAGCAACCAACGCTTGGTAATCGTAATTGGGATCAGCTGTTTTTTCAAGAACCGAGTAACAATTTTGAAAATGGAGGTATGTCTTTTGACCCAATGAATAATGTTGGACTTACCAACAATAATACTGGGACAAATAATCTGATGCAAGTATACCCACTACAAAGCCAGCCAGGGACCAATAACCCATTCAGCCACAACCTTGCTACATCAGTAAATCAGAACGGTTGGAATTTTACTCCAATGTCTTCGAGCTTTGATAACTTGGGGTCTCATTTTAACGATGTGAATCAATTCGGAGTTTATTGGCGGTCGTCGTGTTCTGCTGGTTTTGAGACTGGTGCTAGTTCTGCAAACCAATTCCCTCCAAATTTGCCTGACAACAATGGTGATCTTGATCAGCAACAAAATGTTCCAGTGTTGCCACCCCCGGAAGGGAATTTTAATGACCAATGTGGCCTGCCAAATATCAGTGTTGGAGGAGGAAATGTTGAAAATTCCAATAGACATCTTCATGATAACTTCATGATGCCCGCTTATCTTTTCACGGATGGGCAGGACAACTATCAACCTCCTCCTCAGGTACATACAAACCAGAAATTTATGATGTTCTTTCATTCTTGCTAATATATATTATTTCAGCTCTCTCTCTCTCTCTCTCTCTCTCTCTCTCTCTCTCTCCACAAAATTGTTTATTTCAATGTGTGCAGCAACAAGATGGAGGTCACGATCAAGGTCAACTTCCTTATCAATTTGAAGTGCAGGACCCTGCTGCGAACCAAGTCCCCAACCCTTCTGCGGACCAAGTTCCAAACCCTGGCCCATACCATGTCGAAGATAACCATGAAACAATTTTGGAGCCAGGCGTGCCTACTGTCTTTGAATCAGAGGACTTGAACATATGTCTTCATACTTGTCAGGCAAGTCAACAATTAGATTTAGTCATTTATTTATAGCAATACCATGTACTTATAACTCTTCTGGTAAAAAAAAGAAAAGAAAAAAGAAAGGGCTCTCTTTTTGATAATTTTTGGTAATTTGGTTTTGCTTATATTCTTGCAGAACATATATGGGATGCTGATACGTAATTGGTATTGAAGGCAGTCAAAAACCGAGCAAGGAACGATCCGAATCCAGTCGTTTGAATGAGAGGTTTCTCATGTTTACTTGTTTGTGAGTAGGAAGTAGGAAGTATAGTTTTGTTTTTTGTTTTTGCGTCAAGCCATGTCCAATCTAGGAATTGCATTGGGATTGGAGCTTTGGGCTCTATAATACCAAAAGGAGAAAAGAGGAATTATATTGAGTTGAGGTGATAATTAATGTTAATGATTCGGGATTTGAAGGTGTTTGAGCACCTTTTATTCGTTTTAGTTTTGTTTTCTTTGTACTTTTATTCATTATTACTTTTGAAACATTGCATATTAAACAATTAAACAATTAGAGGAACAAGTATCTTGTGTAAAATCACCATTACTTTAAATTTGTCTAAGAGACCAGGAAAAGAACCAATTCAAGGATTCCATCAATCAATTTGATATAATAAAGGGCGATAGTCTTTGCTTCTATGATTGCATATAAGAGTGCACTCTCAAGTCTAAAGAATTTATAGCTCAAGTAAGTAACCCTTTGCTTCTATGATTATATATATGGCACTCTCGTAAGATTCCAGTCTCGGTCCAAAAAATTTGTAACTTAAGTAATTAAGAATAAATCATGTTTCCCAATATTACTTTGTATGATTTTACTAGTAACTAAGCTTTCACCTTCCACCAAAATGATGGTGGGTAATTGCACTGAAACCAAATTCCTAAGAACAAAAGCCAGCCAAGAAGATAGAAGATACCAATATCAGATAGATATATCTCCCTAGGAGTTTGAATGAAGGCTGATCAACAAAATTGCCCAAGTGATTGAAATTTATTTTGATTGATTAGTTAAGCAGCAAATATACACAACAATTTACTATTTCACCAACTGTACATAATGTATGAATATAAATAAAAAGAAATCATTTTCTTGCTAATCTTTGTCCCTACTTCTCATGAACTATAATGTAAAGCAAGGTGAAGGCACCTTAGGAAGGAACCTGATCCATCCACAAGCTCAAGCTAACTTCCTCTAAAAGATCATCAAAAATCAGGTCCTCAAGTTCAATTCCTATGCACTCAGAATCAAATTGGAGGTTCATCCACCCATCATTCTTCGCCAAATCTCTGCTCACAACATAATCCAATGATTGATCAAACTCTGGCCTCAAGCTCAAGTACCAACTTACAAGGGCCCATACTTGCTTGAGAACGTGGTGCCCTGCTGGCATTAGAGGGATGTTACATAGAGAAGACAAGGTCATGGGACAGTAAGTGTATGACCTCCCATATATCTCCATCAGTACCTCATTGATCATATCAAACAACAGAAAGTGATCACATTTGCCACCTTCTTCATTTCCTGAACAATCAGGATCATGGACCAAGCAGCCTTCAACGCCTTCATACGCTAAAGGATCCACCGGCTGGTCATCTGAATGCCAAGCCCCGAGGGACTCATTCCCATTGAACCCAGATTGCTCCAACACATCTCTCACATAGTTAAATTCAGCCATGTCTCTTGCATCAACTTGAAGATGAGACATGTTCATTTCTGCTCCTATAAAACCAATATCCAAAGCATGATCCATTTCAGCCCCAAAGGTCACAAGTTTTTGATCCATGCAAGAAAATATGAGAATGGTTTAAATGGGAAATCTAATTGAATGCAAATAACATTTTCCACACTGCAAAATGCTTGTTTGATCGTTAAGTGCCAAGATTTAAAGACTAATAATCTGATAATTCCCCATTTGGATTGAGGGATTCCAAATCTATGGATTTAGATGACATTATAAGGTAAAATTGTTTGCATAGACTATTGCAATCCATGTATGCCAAGATTTGGACAAGAAAGAAAGGAAAAAAACAAATAAATTTCAAATGATTCCTTATATATAGTCATTTTAAATCCATTTCAAATGTACTACATCTACTTATTTCAAAATACATTCAATCTAATCCAGTTCTTGTTTTTGTAGCAAACTCAGCCTTGTTGTCAAATCCAAATCCTTCAATCCAAACAGACGCTTACAGATTCTTAAAACATACTGGTTGTTAGAGCAAACAAAATTTAAAGTTTTGAAGAATGCATGCACTTGGTTTGAGATGATGTAAACATTGAAGTAAAAGCTATTGATGAAAATTGAAAACACAAACCTTCAGATAGGGAAACAGTGAAGTCAGGCACAGAGATTGGAAAGGGATCTGCATGATTAATAATGGACTCACTTCTAGGCCCAACATTTTGTTCCTCATAAGAAACACTGTTCCCTGCTGTTAGGTTTTCAATATCATCAAAAATCGAATCCACCGGAGCACTTGCCTCATTGTTTGCAACTGATGTTGATGCCACCTCTAACTCACCAACTTCAGCCAAGTTTTCTGTCTTACTTTCTACAGGAGCATCTAGCTGCAAATGATTTTCTGAACCTATAGGGATGTCTAGACTATTTTGTTCATCAAAGCTACTTCTTCTGCTTGCCCTGCCATCCACAGCAAACCGTGTTGGAGCTCCAGAAGAAAAAACATCAGAAGATTCCTCACTCTGATACTTGTACGATTTAATTTCAGGTAAGGAAAAAATCCTCCCGAGCGTTTTCAGAACAGGCTGCAAAGGTGAGTCTACCCTTTCTTTTCTTAATTTCAATCTCTCAGATGCATGGCCTTTGGCTTCTCTGCTGCAACTAGTCTCATACAACTGACAGTACCTGTCAAGTGATGCATTGAGGGAAGATGCTCTTCTCATGTGGCGTTGTTTCTTTTTCTTGAGGGAAGAAACCGAATTATCGCTTTCATAACTGCTTCCTGGACTGTCTTTACCTTCTGTACTCATTGCAAGGTCCTTCGAATGGTTATCGATCTCCTGCTCCAATTCTTTAGTAAGCTTTTGGCCATGAGGAATCTTGTGAAGGAGGGCATCCATAGTAATCATATGTCTCTCTTTTCTGCTCTCCTTGATTACATGCTTTATTTTCTGTCTAAGATCCTTAAAACGCTTAATTGCCATTTCATTGTCGGCAGAACCAGAATAAGAATTATCAGCAATTGCTTGGTTTAGCTTTAGAATTCCATCTTCACTGTACTCATTGATCGATGGCATTGACCGTTCACCAACATATTTCAAAGAAGTAGACCCTGCTAACTTTTGTGCTTGACTACCAATTTTCGACTTACTTTCTTCTTTTGCAGGAGACCTTATCAACTCATGCTTGTGCTTGAGCTTGATAGGCTCAGAACCTCTTCTGTCTGAAGAGCCAGGTACAGGGAATGACTCTGACTTACTTAAACTCGTTTTTGCACTGACTGCTTGCTGATTATGGAAGTGCTGGGCCAAAGGAGAGCCTGGATCATGTAAGATTTTAACTAATAACTCCTTGTTTACATTGATTATATCCAAAGCCT